TTGTTATGAAAACCAAGTGATCTATGTAAAACAGACTGGTGCTGAGCAGTAGGAGCCTGTAAATCAAGGTTATCACTGTCAACTCATTGATGCCCAATAGGAGCCTATGGGAGCCACAATGGAGCCATATATACAATTTCAAAATGTCTACAAGCTATATTAAAAAAGAAACAAGGGAAATTAATTTAATGGTATGTTTTATTTAGTCCACTATATTTAAAATATTGTTTCAAAATGCCATCAGTATAAAATATGGATGCGATACTTTTCATTCTTTCTCTGATGCCAAGTCTGGAATCCAGCACATATTTTACACTCCCAGTACATCTCCATTTGAACCAACCACGTGCCAAATGCTCACGGATCATGTGTGCCTAATAGTAAAGGCACTGGCCAGCAGGGGTACAAATGGTCTCCTTGCTTCACACTGCCTCCACAACAGACTTGCTCAACCTCTGTTTTGTTGACTTGGGGCAAGTGATGGAGAAAGGATTTGAACCCAGCGTGTCTATGAAAAGACCAAGAGAAGGAAGACTGTGACTCTAAACCATGTCACTCTGGGGACACCAGCACTTAGAACAGAGTCTTTAAAGCTAGCACTGTTGACGTTGAGGGCAAGACACTTTGTTGGGGAGACTCTGTGTGGCATCCCAGGCCTCTCCCATCTCACCCTCTGTCCACATTGTCATGTATCCCAGGGTGTCAGAAGGGGACTCATGATGACTGAGAATCATTGTTACAGAGCCTCTTGGGTACATACTGCCCCAGTGGATTTCACCACACTGAAGATGAAGCCCCCACCCTCACTGTGCCTGACAATGTCTCCTTATCTTGCTACTGATGACAGCATCCCCTCCATCCCCTTGGCCACCAGCTTGGTCCTTGAATTTACCACTGCCTTTCACTCACTATCCATCCTAGGGTGGAGATCTCCCCATGCCCACCTCCCCCCAGTATTAGTCTAGTCTCATCCCTATACAACACAAACATCAAGACCACAGGGACCTTATCAGTCTTGATCCATCCTCTTCCTCGTCAAGGGCAGGCAATTAGTATTTGCTGAAAGACCTGAAGCTCTTGTTCTGGCCTCTGGATCTCAAGTTCAATGTCAACAAAGCCTCCCAATGCAACTGGGTCAGGAATAGCCTGGATTTTCTAGTATTTGGTCAAGGAGTCACTGCTCTTCACTTTCTGCTTGGCAGGCTTCTACAGAAGGTTCAATCATACCCTGTGGAGATGTAAGTGGTGGAAATCCACCTGCTGGAGAGCCAGGACCATGAAGAGAGTCTTTTCACACAAAGGATAAGGGGGTGAGGGCATCCTTACAGACCCTGCAGCTCGATAGTGCCAGTTGCCTAGTCCCAAGGGAAGTCCACTTGCAGCAGGCATTTCCACTGGTACCACAGGTCTAGCTGGGCATCTATGGGACACAGCCTCAAGGGGAGGTACTTGGATCTTTACTCTGGACCTGGGAATCTTCTGGAATTTGATGGCACTTCCTTCCCTGTAGTTGATCTGCCCAACTATGTACAGGCAGAAATGGCAATCCTCAGGGCTCTCCTCTCTGCACAGCCCTCCTTGGTTCCCCCTCCCAGGGGAGGGGAAACAGCTCTAGAATATGGCTCTCTCAAGACTGGAAAAGAATGGTGGCCTTAAAGAAGGCGTGACTAGGATCTGTAGTATACATGCCCAGCCACCAGAACCTGGGGGAAGGTTCAGGGCTCTGGGAGAGAGTGTTTTCCAGCAGTGTAGAGCGAGGGCCTAGAGGCTCTTGGACTTTGAAGCTAAGGGTCCTAGAGACATCTACTAGTAAAAGTCCTCAAGACCTGCACTCTGCAAAGGCCTAAAGGACAGTGTAGGTCTCTGTCCAAAGGCCATTTGATAGAGATGATTCCACAGTCCTGTGATATCTAGGTTTGGATCTTGTCTTCAGTCATTAGACTAAAGAACTGGAGGGTGGTCCCCTTCCTTTGATAGAGGAAAACTGATGTCCAGGCTGTGAAACCCCACAGAGAGAAGCGAGGGTCGCTGTGAGGTCAATGCCTGGAGGATGAGTTGGGAGGGGTACAGCCAAGGCCTCAAAACTACTTTCCCAGGCCCCCTTGGCCCTAGGGCCCCACCCCTGCCAACTCAGCCTTTGTCTGATTTGCTCTCTGCAACAGCTGGGGAGGCTGGGCCTTGCCCTGGCTCCTGCCATCAGCCATCTCTGTGTGGCACTAAAGATTGGCTTGGGCGCCAGGCCCCAGCAGCAGGCTTGGCAGGTGGCTCTGCGTTGCCGGGGAGACCAGGGAGGAGAAAAGCTATTCCACAAGGCTGCTGAGAGCCAGATGGCCTGGAGTCCCAAAGGTGCCTTTCTTGGGGACCACAACCTGATGTACATACTGCAGGGGTCTCACAGAGAACACCCTCACAAGGTAGATGAAGAAACTGAGATGAAAAAGAGTAGAGGGCCTGAATCACCAACACACTGAGGATCGGTGGTGAGGAACTGAGGACAGAACCCACCCTGAGTTCTGATGGTCCTAGGAGGCTGCAGCAGGGTGTACGGTCAGAGGGGTACATGGGCCTGTCTGTATATGTGTATGTTTTCCTCTGACAAGATCCCAGACTCTAATAAAAACCCTTATTAAACCTCATTCTCAGGAGCAGCCAGAACAGCGCAGCTGGAGTCTGAAGGAGATTCGTAATTCTGCAAGCACAGGGAGTCAATGAGCAAATGCTGAGAGATGGAAGCTGGGCTTTGTCCTGCTTCCTGAATGGGGTACTGAGACAGGGCGAGAATCAAGGACAAGGACTGTGACCAATAAACCTTGAGCTAGCTGGGCCTTAATGATGGGAGAATGTACTGGACGGGGCAAGGGATGAAGCCCCTCAGAAAGGCCAGCCCTAACCTGGTCTCCTGTCCTTGAAGCTGGGCGAGGGGAGAAAACAGAGCCCATGGCAACCTGCAGGCATGTCAGGTCCTCAGAGGCCTCTGCAGATGGAAGGAGCTCATTCTCCTCAAAGAAGGAGCTGGAATACCTAAAAATCTCAGCTTAGCCCTGCCCTTGGCAGAATGAAAACCTCCCAACCCAGTGCTTAGAAATGCTGAGCAGCAAGACAGGGGTCTAGGGCCTGGCCCCAGAGCAGGGCCTGCATTTGGAGCCCCCACAGTGGCACAACCTGAGTCAACGAAGAACTGTCCACGGACCTGGGTGGAGGGCTGGGATGTGAGGTTAAATGGTGACATCAGTAAGGGACAGGTATGAAAATCTACGCAAAGACGTAGAAAGAGGGACATCCAGATTCAAACCTTCTGCTCAAGATCTAGAAATGTCCAACTCTGCCCAAGGCAGGGCTGCAGTTGAGTCTTTTCCAGTGGAGCTGGGGAAGGCTGGTTTGATGCTCCTCGGCTCTGACACTAAATGGCAAGAGGAGCTGGGCTGCTTCTCGGGGTTCATGGAACTGAGCTAAATTGCTCCACAGCCTTTTTTGTGGCGCAAACAGAAATCCCCACCTGTTGGAGGTTGTCACACAGACAGCGTCTGCTCCCTAGAGAGCTGGGAGCTGCCTGCATCCCAGGCCTCCCGCCTCCAGCACCCACCTGCTGCTGGAGCTGTCAGCCGGGCTCCCAAACAGGCTGATTATCCCCATCTGGGAAAACAAAACATGTCAGCCCTGTGCCTAAGAGGCCTGTCTCCTTAGTGAGAAGCAATCAGGGAAGCTCCCAGCTTGGATCTGCCATATGACAGGGATGAGTGACCTGGGCTTTCTTAGTGTGGCTTTTCTTCTTCCCCCACTCCCCGAAGGCTTTGTCTTCCACAAGCCCTACTCAGGCTTCCTGCTGGCCTCTTTGAAACTCAGTGGGCCTGCTGAGAATGAACTTATAGGCACTATTCCTCTATATAGCACAGAAGTCTGGTCTGTATTTCAGAACTAGACTTGTCAATTGCACAGTTCTCCTTTACCAGAGTCCTGGATGTGGATCCACACAGGGAGACTTCACCAGGAAAAGTACTGGCCTCACCACATGGGGTGACCAAAGGAAACAGTAAGGATGTAGCCTGCTACACCTTGACCTTCAAACGCTGTGGTCTCCTGCCTCTGGGTTGCCCATGTGCCCTTCTACCCAGCATGCCTTTCAATCAATATGTCATCCTTACATTTCTGTGGCTGTACTTCAAACACCAGCCCTCAATGCCTCCACTCACCAGGTGAGCCTGTGTACATCTACCCTGCTCACCACGGCATGGAAGCTGCTGTGGGCAGAGAAAATAAGGGCATGCCTGTCTACACCCAATGTCATCTAGGTATGTACCATGCGCAGATCATGTCTAGAAAATAGGTGAATGGTTGAAAGTGGAAATCTCCTCTGTTCCAACCTGGCCTACCCAGCTGTTCCCATCAGCACTCACTACAGGTGTGTGGCTTCCACATTCCCTCCTAACTCAAGAGGATTTTTTTCTGATGCTATACCCAGCACACCCTACCTGTCTTGTGACGGAGGGAAACTGGCTTTCTCTGCATGCTTCGAGTGTGGCAGGAAAAGGACTATATCTATTTCATGTGTACCCAAGTAGCATTCACACGGGTGAAAAAAAAAATGTGGTTCATACAATACACTGGTCTGCCCAAGGTCCCCCAGATCAGAACCAATATCTGAGTTCCAAGGCTTTTGTTTTCCGGGTCAGGCCTCTCTATCTGCCATAGTCCAAGCCAGGGCTCCAGGATCCATGCCTCAGGCCAAGAGAGCAGCCTGCCTTGCCTCTAGGATGGACCCTCCTGCTAGTCATTATTGTCACCTGACTGCTCTGAATCTACCATATGTAGGGGCAATGCTGAGTGTCTGGCATGAATCAACATATGTTAAATTTCACAACAACTCTGAGATTATAGCTTTTATCATCATATTGTCAATGAAGAAACTGAGGCACAGAGACATTAATAAACTTGCCAGAGATCACAGTTGCTAAGCAACAGTGGATCTTGTAGCACTCAGGCCAGAAGGCTGGAAATGGGGCTCACTACCTCGAGTCCAATACCAATAGAACACAAGAGGGCATGCCAGCCCATCACCCTTCTGAGGATACACAGGGCCTACCAGCCTCTGCCCTTAACCTCACACTGATTGTGACCTTGTCAAGATCCAGGCTCCAAGTCATCCTCCTTTATTTCCACACACAAGGGAGCACACACCAGAGCTGAATGACCAGAGGGAGCATAGTGATTGTACATATGGGTTTATGATGTTTCCTCTGCCTGCCTCCAAAGCAGATGTAAGGTGGTTTAGAATACTGAGATGCGTAATGAGGACAATAGAATTATTCTCTAAAACAGAGCTGTTGGAATCCAATAATCAGGCAGGAAGACGGAGTTCTCTGGGGCAGCTGGGAGGAGCCAGGCTGGGATGCAGTAACTTGGATTTCTGTCCCTGGCTGTGCCAACGCCACCATGGGCAAGCCACTCTTCTGTCATAAGCCTTAATGCAGCTATCTGTAAAACAGGAGGGCAAACATAAACAGAGAGAGATTGAAGTTAGTGATCAGCTTTTCAGCAGCACTAAATGCAACCAATTTAATTCTTCCCAGAGCCTTGAAAGGTTAACAATAGATATTCCGGAGACTGGTCCGGCTGGGTAAGGAGGAGGAGGCCAGTCAGTAGGATGGGGTCCACTACCTTACTGCAGTCAGATTGACGCCACAGTCTTAGCACACTACATAGCTCTCAGGCATCTGGACATGTTGAGACTCTCTCCAGGTAGTTCAGTTGGTCTGAGCCTCTTGGCTGGTCCCTGCCTCTTCCAAGCAGCACTGCTGGTCTAAGGGTCTCTCAGTCCTTATTGTTTATATGAGCTTGGGGAGAGAGGAGCCTAGTGCATCTGGTCAGTTTCAGGAACTTCCTGATGCTTCTGAATCATTCACTTCCTGAGTCTTAAGCCTCCCCTTAGAACATCCTGAGTCTTAACTCTCCCTTTAGAGGATCCTGAGTCTTAAGGAGCTTCCTTGAGGAATGTATCAACTTGGAGGAAATTTCTATATAACATGATTGAATTAAGAAATACCTGGGCCAGTGAAGAGGTACACCTTTGTGTGTATCTGTGATGGTGTTTCCAGATAGATTTAACTGAGGAAGGAAGACCCATCCTAATGGTACAGACTGTGCAGTACCATCCCATGGGCAGGGGTCACAGCCTGAATAAAATGGGGAGGGGGAGTCAGCAGAAGCATGGCCTTCGTTCTCTGCTTCCTGGTGGGCACCACAGACAAAGGCACTGCTACCACCATGCCCTCACCACCAACATGACTGCATTCCTCTGAAACATGAGCCAAAATAAACCCTTCTCCCTTGAGTTGCTTTTGTGAGGTACTTGGTTACAGTAACAGGAAATGTATATAATACAGAAAGGAGTTAAGCTGTTGCCGTGACTACCTGACCATGCTGACCATGTGCTTTGTAGGCCTTTGGAACTGGTTTGTGGGAGGAATGTGGAAGAGTTTGGATCCCTGGACTAGAGCAGCCCTTGAGTGCCACAGGCAGAGTTTGATGGGCTATTCACATGGAAATTTGAAAGACTGGAATGCCAATAGTTATGCAGAATGAGTCTCCACTGACAAGGTTTCAGGGAGAGGAAGACTAGAGGCCATTCATATTATGTTTGGGCAAAGAATCTGGCTACATTCTACCTGAAAACTTGAGTGAGGCTGCATTCAAACACAATGGACTAATCTGTTTGGTGGCGACAATTTCAAGGCAATGTGGCATTCAGGTTGTGGTATGGTAATGTCAATGCTCTTATCCAGGTATACGGTGAGAATGGGCAGTAAATATGTATGCAGTTTGACAAGGAAAGGAGCATGAGCCAGTTTGGAGTTGTAGACAAGGAGGGTGTAGATGAACTTATCGTGACCATTAATGAAGTTAGAACAGTTAAGGAGAAACTTCACACTTTGCACTGGAATAATGAGAAAGGTACTTTCAAGACCTCACCCAGCAAAGGATCCAGCTTATAAATACAAATGCAGAGGATCCGTGTTCAGTTCCCAGTACCTATATTAGCCATCTCACAACTGCCTGCAGCTCCACCTGCACGGGAGTTGATGCCTCTGACTTCCATAGGTTCCTGCATGCACACACTCACACACGCACACGCACACACACACACACACACACACACACACACACACAAAGAGTGACTGAACTGAGAATGCTGCTGAATGGGCTTCCTGCTCACTAAAGTGTTTCTTTCTCACAAACAACCACCAAGGAAGATGTCCTTACAGGTTTAGCTGCCAAGGCACACAGGCCAATTCAGCTGTGGTAGAAAGGTGTCATAGTCCCCAGCATCCATGTAAAAACCTGGGTTTGCAGGTTGCAAAATGCAATTTAAGGGCCATAGAGGCTTGTGACAAGATTTTATAAAACAACTGAGGCCAGGTAACATGTGGGCCTGAGCAGTCATTTCGTGAAACTATAAAGGTGAAGACCTGAGGATGTCAGAGATGTAAAGACCAGGAGAAGTCTGCAGTGGGAAACTGCAGGAAGAGTGGATATGGGCCAAGGAAAAGTCTATAGATGCTGTAGGTGGCAGCCATAGAGGAGTTGAGGTGCCCAGGGCTATGGGAGCCCAGATGCTGTCGCTAAGATTCCCAGACACTGGACAAGGAACTGAAAGATTTAGTGTTTGCACTACCAAGTTTTCATCTGACTTTGGCCCAAACTTCCCTTACTATAAACAACCCTATTCTTCATTTTGGAAGAAGGATGCTTACCCTGTGCCACTGTATTGCAGAAGTATGCAATTTGGTGTGGTTTTTTTTTTTTTTTAATTGTATAGGGCCTTAAAATTAAGAGATTGTCTTGAGTATCAGAGGAAACTTTAGACTTTCGGAAAAAGTGTTAAAACTGTAGGACTATGAGGACTTTTGAATTTTGAGCTAATGCATTTTGCATTATGACGTGGCCATGAGCCTAGGACAGGAGCAGATAGGGGTGAAACATTATGGTTTTAATTGGTGTGTTTGAGTGTCAAGTTGACAAGAGATGAACTTGTGGCTGATAATTTCAAGTGATGACTTGATTGGACTAAGAAACACCTGGAACATTAATAAGACACACCCGTGGTCATGTCTCTGAGGGTGTTTCCAGAGTGGATTAACTGGGGAGAGAAAACTCACCCTGAATGTGGAGGGCACCATCTCATGGCCTGGGGTCCCAAACTCAATAAACAGAGGAAAGTGAGCCAGGGTGATGAATGGCTCTTTGGGTAAAATGCTTGCCTCATAAGCATGAATGCCTGATTTTGAGTCCCCAGCATTCATGTAAAAGTCTGGGCATGGTGGTCTGTACCTGAAATCCCAGCACTGGTAGGCAAAAAGAATCCTGGCATCTTGCTGGCCAGCCTGTCTGGCCAAATCACAGAGCTCCCAGTTCGGATGGAGAACAGTAGAGAATGACACTGGACTCAACATCTGACTTCCACATACATGCATGGGTGTACATGCATACACATGCAGCGCAGGCATACACCACAGGCAAAGGGAGGGAGGAGCTGAGTGAACACTGGCATTATCCTTTCTCTGCTTTCTGGTTTCACCGTAGACCAAGCCTAGCACCTTGCCTTCCCTGCCATATTGGACTGTATTCCTCTGAAACTTGAGCTAAAATAAAACTTTCATCCCTTAAGTTGCTTCTGGTCAGATATTTGTTTGCAGCAATCATAGAAGTAACCAAATACACTTCAAGATAGCTTAGAAGCCCCAGCCTACTCCATGTGCCAGCTGTGGTGATCCCACCTGGTTCCTGGGCTTTTCTATCCATAGACCTCATGCTATAATGTGGAGTACCACCTGACCTCCTGCCAGCCTCACACCTTGTCTCAACAGATGGTGATGACCAGATCCTCAGCACCTTTGCCACTCCTCCTGTGCCTGTCGAGCTCCTTCTCAATGACAGTGGTCATTAAGGCATGGTAGTCTTGTTAGTAGCTCTTAGGCAGTACCTAGGCTAGGAACAGGGTCCAAACTCTGTGGGAAGTGTATAGTTAGCAATGTTCCCCAGAGGGCTGTAGTGTATCCTCCCCCATATACTCACCCAACTGAGCACCATGCTATCTTCTCTCCAATGGCTTTAAGCATCATGTGCTTGTAGGTGGGTCCAATCCCTTCTCTGGGCCTCACCTAGATATGTCCTCCAGGATCTAGAAAGAGCCCACTGGAGGAGGTTCAGATACCTGTATCTTATAAGTGAGGGACCTGGGCCCAGCCCAGCCCTTGCCTTTGCCTCCCTCCAGGCATTTGCCTGGAACAGACAAAGCCCCTGGCAGGGTGATATCCTTTGATTTGATTCAGAAGCCATTTTCCCTCCCTACTTGCCATTGTGCTGAGCTTCACCCCCTTTCAAATTGTGTGATGAAAGCACCAGGCTATTTTAGTCCAATTTTCTCCTCCTGATGTGGAGAGGCGATGGTGGCATTAAGATCTGGTACCTGCTGTTCAGAATCAGAGCAGGAAGTAGGAGGTAATGAGGGCTATTGGGCAGGAACTGAGCCTGTCCCTGTCCTCCCCCATTTCCCCAAGCTCCTTGCCACAACCCACATTGAAAGGAGCCTCCCGGCAGGGAGCCCTCACTTCCCTAACAGTTTGGATCCTCCTTGTGCCTGGGCAAACCATCCGCATTTCCCCAGCCTGGGTTTCCTCGTCTATGCAATGGACATTAACACTTTTCCTCAAAGAAAGATCAAAATAAGAAGTGTTTTGAAAAACTAAGGAGGGCCCAGGCATTGGAAACCTGCTGTGCCCTCATGCTCAGCATAGATTATCCACCATCCTTATCACCTCTCTCTGTGGGCAAGGAGGCCATATGCAGAAGTTCAATGTGTGCTTTTTCTCTCCTCAAAAACACAGACCTCTGCCATCCTTATGATGCCCCAGGCTTGGAATCCTGCTTGGACTACCTCATTCAAACATCATATCACCACCTGGGGAAGCTACCATTACCATCCCGTTGGGCTATGAGAAAACAGAGGCAGAAAGCATTTCAGTGATTTTTCATGGACTCTCTTAGTGACTAGCTGACAGGCATCTGAGCCTGGGTGGTCTGAGCCCCCATACTCCCTTGGCCCATGCTCCATCACAGACCACCAGGCCTCCTGATTCCAAGGATGAGACACTTAAAGACAAGGGAAGGAGCCAACCTGGCTCTGGTCAGCTTGCCCCAGGCATGGGGCAGGAGCCCCAGGGCAAGCCATAGCCTGTGGATCTCAAAATCTTACCAGGTATCAAAGGAAGAAGCCCAGTGAAGCACTAACTGCAAACACACAGACTCTGCTTTGTCAGGCAGAGGGATGCAGGTTGGGGAGGGGCCCAACTCCACTATGCTCCTGACTGCTCCCACTTGGCACCTCAGCCTGAAAGGCAGGCAAGCTTCTCACTGCCGGCTAACTGCGGAGGTACAGGGGCTGGGGCCAGAGGAGCCCCAAGGTGGCAGGCCAGTCT